GCTGGGTCGTTGTGTCAGCCCCTCCCAGCCCAGGGTCTGCGTCTCACGGCCTGTCTCCTTCTGCTCCCAGAGCCCACTCTGCCCAAGCCCTCCATGTCCATCAAACCCAGCGGGGGGGTCTCCCTGGGGGGAGCCGGGAGCGTCTGGTGTCGGGGGCAGCGCAAGGGCATGCGGTTCGTCCTGAATAAAGAGGGACGCCATTTCCCACCTGCGGATTCGGACGACTTTGAGGCTGTGTTTCCCATCAGCAACGTGCGCCGGGAGGATGGGGGGAACTACAGCTGCTCCTCTCACAGCAGATTGGAGCCATTCGCCGTGTCGTACCCCAGCGACCCCGTGGAGCTGGTGGTGAGAGGTGAGGGGTCCGGCTCCGTGTCCCCGTTCCCAGCCCCACCCCCAGCCAGACCCTCATGGGGGCTCGGTGCCAATGGGACACTCAGAGCCAGGCTCTGCCCTGAGCCCTGACCCCGCAAAGGGGACGTCCGGCCAGGGAGTGGGGACGGAGTCACTGGGGGGGGTTCCCCAGCCAGGAGCAGCAGCCCCTGGAGACTCGGGGCAGGGAGGCTACTTTAAAGTTGCCCCTTGTGCGTAGGAACCACGAGTCGCTATTTAAACCCGTGATCCCATTCCCTCTATTCTCCAGCGCCTGCCCCAGGCAATGCCCCGGCCCGGGCTGAATGAGGCAGGGGCTGCAGGAGAAGCGGTGGCTCGGTGGAAACAGCGCTGGGCTGGGACCCAGGAGATCTGGTCCAGCAACTGGCGCGGGCACACACTCTGTGTGATGGGAGGATGTAGCGGTTTTCAAAACTGTCCTTCATTGTGCGGGGCTCAATCTTCAGGGTTCTCAGACCGAGCGCCCACAAGCCGAAATGCCCACAGTTAGCGGAGACCTCTGCAAACGCTGGCCTCAATAGCGCTGGATCCCTTGTGTTGTGGGAGTATGTACAGCCCCCGCCATGATCAGGGCCCTGTTGTGCCAGGCGCAGCATAAACACAGAGTGAAGAGACAGTTCCGACCCCTGGGAGCTCACTGAGGACAGTGAGGATGTCTGTGCCTCAGTTTCCCGCTATGTAGAATGGGAGGCTGACTCCCTTCTTGTGTGCGGCTCGGGGCCTGTGGTGCTGGGTGGTGCCGGACACCAGAGTCCAGCCCGTGAGTTGCTCTGGTGCTCGGGGGGCTGGATGCAGTGAATGGGGCAGGGTCAACACATGGACATATGAAGATCCCAAGAACTAGGGAGCCGTGGCTCCATGTCTGTGGGGTTGGGAGCCCAGCTCGCAGGGTCGGGATTCTGGGTGGGGGGAACTCTGGGATCTGAGAGAGAATCTCTGCCCGGGGGCCCCAGGATCTCCCCAGGGCTGCGGCCGGCCGGGGAGGCCGGGGCTGGGTGGGTGCCCGGGTCTGGCTCTCACAGCCTGTCTCCTGTGCCCAGATCCCAGCTTACCCAGACCCTCCATCTCTCTGAGCCCCACTGGGGTCACCGCCCCAGGGGCAAACGTCACCATCCGGTGCCAGGGGCAGCGACGGAATGTGACGTTTTTCCTGCACAAGCCTGGAGACCCGAAACCGCAGCGACCTGTGGACCCTGCTGGGGACTGGGCCGAGTTCCTCATCCCCATCGTGGGTCTGCAGCACAAAGGGAAATACAACTGCAGCTACCGGCCTCAATCAGAGCCCTTCGTCTCCTCGCAGCCCAGCGACTCAGTGGAGCTGGTGGTAGCAGGTGAGGGGCCCATCTCGAAATCCCAGCTCCCAGCCCCACATCCAGCCAGACCCTCGCGTGGGGCTCCATGCTGCTAGGATGCTCAGAGCCAGGCTCTGCCCGGCGGGAGATACAGCTGCTCCTATCACAGAAGATCGGAGCCATTCTCTGTGTCGTACCCCAACGACCCCATGGAGGTGGTGGTGGGAGGTAAGGGGACCGGCTCGGCGTCCCCGTTCCCAGCCCCACACCCAGCAAGACCCTCACGGGGGCTCGGTGCCAATGGGACGCTCAGAGCCAGACTCTGTCCTGAGCCCTGACCCCGCAGAGGGGACGCCCCGCTCCGGAGTGGGGACGGAGTCACTGGGGGGTTCCCCAGCCAGGGGGGAGCAGCAGCCCCTGGATGCGACTTTAATGCTGTCCCCAGTTTGTATGAACCGTGAATCTCTATTAAATTTTGTGATCCCATCCCCTCTGTTCTCCAGCACCCGCCCCAGGCAGTGCCCCGGCCCGGGCTGAATGAGGCAGGGGCTGCAGGAGAAGAGGTGCCTTGGTGAACACGGCGCTGGGCTGGGACCCAGGAGATCTGGGCCAGCTCCTGGTGCAGCCACAGACTCTGTGTGATGGGAGCACGTCGCGGTTTTCAAAAGTGTCCTACATTGTGGGGGGGCCTCAATCTTCAGGGTTCTCAGGCTGAGCACCCACAAACCGAGACGCCCACAGTTAGCGGAGATCTCTGCAAATGCTGGCCTCAATAGCGCTGGATCCCTTGTGTTGCGGGTGCATGTAGGGCCCTCGCCATGATCAGGGCCCTGTTGTACCAGGCGCTGCATAAAGACAGAGTGAAGAGACAGTCCCTTCCCCTGGGAGCTCACTGAGGAAATTGAATATGTCTGTGCCTCAGTTTCCCGCTATGTAGAATGATAGGCTGACTCCCTTCTTGTGTGTGGCTCGGGGCCTGGTGCTGGGCAGTGCCGGGCACCAGAGACCAGCCTGTGAGTCGCTCTCTGCTCGGGGGGCTGGATGCAGTGAATGAGGCAGAGGCCACACATGGGCATATGAGGATCCCAAGAACTAGGGAGCTGGGGCTCGGTGTCTGTGGGGCTGGAAGCCCAGCTCGCAGGGCTGGGTTTGTGGGTCGGCGAAACTCTGGGATCTGGGAGAGAATCTCTGCCCTGGGGCCCCAGGATCTGCCCATGACTGCGGCCGGCCGGGGAGGCCGGGGCTGGGTGGGTGCCCGGGTCTGGCTCTCACAGCCTGTCTCCTCTCCGCAGATCCCAGCTTACCCAGACCCTCCATCTCTCTGAGCCCCACTGGGGTCACCGCCCCAGGGGCAGACGTCACCATCCGGTGTCAGGGGCAGCACCGGGACGTGAGGTTCTTCCTGCACAAGGCTGGAGACCTGAACCCGCAGCGACACATGGACCCTGCTGGGGACGGGGCCGAGTTCCGCATCCCCACCGTGGGCCGGCAGCATGGAGGGAACTACAGCTGCAGCTACCAGAACCGATCAGAGCCCTTCATCTCCTCAGAGCCCAGCGACCCCGTGCAGCTGGTGGTAGCAGGTGAAGGGCCCGGCTCAGCATCCCCGCTCCCAGCCCCACACCCAGGCGGTCCCTCACGGGGGGCTCCATGCTGCTGGATGCTCAGAGCCAGGCTCTGCCCTAAGCCCTGGGCCCAGCAGAGGGGATGCCCGTCCGGGGAGCGGGGATGACGTGGGTGGCAGGTATAATAGGCCAGAGAAAGCTCTGCCTTCCCTGGCTGGAGCCGCTGCTGAGGGATGCTGGGCTGTGGTTGGCCAGCTGGTCGGGGCCTGGGGCTGGCTGGCTAGGTGCTAGGGGCTGCTCTGGCCTAGCACAGGCCTGGGGTCACCCGGGCTGGCTGGCGCTGGTGGGGTTCTTGGCATCACATGACTGGGGCTTAGGTTGGTTGGGTGGCTGTGGCTGACCCAGGACTCAGCCGGGCTAGCCAGCCAGCCGGAGGCTGGGATTTGTCAGCTGGGGTCTGGGGCTGCTCTGGCCGGCGCAGGGATGTGGTCGCTCGGGCCAGCGGGCGTGACTGGGGCTGCTCGGGCTGGCCAGGCTGGGGCTGGGGTCAGTCGGCCGGCATGGCTGGGGCTCCGGTCCGTTGGCTGGCTGCGGCTGACCCGGGACTGGGGCTGTGCCAGGGGTCCTCTGGTGGCGGGGGTGGGGGGGCAGTCTTGGAGTTCCGTCCGAGCCAGGGGTTCTCTGGCTGGGGGAGGGGGTGGCGAGGGGCACTCAGGGCTCCTGCCACTAGAAGTGGGGCTTTGTGCAGTGGGGGGATGAGGTTGCAGGGCTAGCCTCCCGGAAATGGGGGTCCACGCACTGCCCAATGGGGGATGGAGTCACTGGGGGGAGCCGCAGCCGCTGGAGATTTCAGTCTGAGGGAGGGGGGATCCCTGGCTCCAGGGGAAGCTGCGGAGCAGGGGGCCTTTCCCAGGGGGATACTCCCCATCTCCGGGGACACACAGAGCTTTTGGGGCCTAGAGGCTGCTCAGCCGGCCCCTCCCCACTCCCGTGGATGCCCAGCACTCAATGGAGAGCTGTGCAGGGGAGGGGCCGGTGGCTGGGTCGCCGTGTCGGCCCCTCCCCGCCCGGGGTCTGCGTCTCACGGCTTGTCTCCTTCTGCTCCCAGAGCCCTCTCTGCCCAAGCCCATCATCAGGCCCAGCGGGGAGGTCTCCCTGGGGGGAGTTGTGTCCGTCCAGTGTCGGGGGCAGGGCCCGGGCGTGCGGATCGTGCTGAATAAAGGGGGACGCCATGTTGCACACGTGGATACGGAGAAGTCAGAGTTTGAGTTTCCCATCAACAACGTGCGCCGGGAGCAGGGCGGGAACTATAGCTGCTCCCATCACAGCAGGTCGGAGCCGTTCGTCAGGTGGAGCGACCCCGTGGAGCTGGTGGTGAGAGGTGAGCGGCCCGTCTCGTGTCCCTGTTCCTAGCTCCACCCCCAGCCAGACCCTCACGGGGGATCGGTGCCAATGGGACACTCAGAGCCAGGCTCTATCCTGAGCCCTGACCCCAAAGAGAGGACGCCCGGCTGGGAAGTGGGGACAGAGTCACTGGGGGCTTCCCCAGCCAGGGGGGAGCAGCAGCTCCTGGAGGCTACTTTAACATTGTCCCCAGTTTGTATGAACCGTGAGTCGCTATTTAATCCCATGAGCTCCTCCCCTCTGTTCTCCAGCGCCCGGCCCAGGCAGTGCCTCGGCCCGGGCTGAATGAGGCAGGGGCTGCAGGAGAAGCAGTGGCTTGTTGGACACAGCGCTGGGCTGGGACCCAGGAGATCTGGCACAGCTCCTGCTGCGGCCATAGACACTGTGATGGGAGCACACCGCGGTTTTCAAAAGTGTCCTTCATTGTGGGGGGGGCCGTCAATCTTCAGGGTTTTCAGGCCGAGCGCCCAGAAACAGAGATGCCCACAGTTAGCGGAGACTTCTGCAAACGCTGGCCTCAATAGCGCTGGATCCCTTGTATTGCGGGTGCATGTAGGGCCCCTGCCATAATCAGGGCCCTTTTGTGCCAGGCGCTGCATAAAGACAGAGTGAAGAGACAGTCCCGGCCCCTGGGATCTCACTGAGGACAGTGAGGATGTCTGTGCCTCAGTTACCTGCTATGTAGATGGGAGGCTGACTCCCTTTTTGTGTGCGGCTCGGGGCCTGTGGTGCTGGGTGGTGCCGGGCACCAGAGACCAGCCCGTGAGTTGCTCTGTGCTCGGGAGGCTGGATGCAGTGAATGAGGCAGGGGCCACACATGGGCATATGAGGATCCCAAGAACTAGGGAGCCGAGGCTCCACGTCTGTGGGGTTGGGAGCCCAGCTCGTAGGTCCGGGATTGTGGGTGGGGGGAACTCTGGAATCTGGGAGAGAATCTCTGCCTGGGGGCTCCAGGATCTGCCCGTGGCTGCGGCCGGCCGGGGAGGCCGGGGCTGGGTGGGTGTCTGGGTCTGGCTCTCACAGCCTGTCTCCTCTCCGCAGATCCCAACTTACCCAGACCCTCCATCTCTCTGAGCCCCACTGGGGTCACCGCCCCAGGGGCAAACGTCACCATCCGGTGTCAGGGGCAGCGCCAGAATGTGACGTTCTTCCTGCACAAGGCTGAAGACCCGAACCTGCAGCAACACATGGACCCTGCTGGGGACGGGGCCGAGTTCCACATCCCCACCGTGGGACGGCAGCACGGAGGGAACTACAGCTGCAGCTACCGGAACCGATCAGAGTCCTTCATCTCCTCAGAGCCCAGCGACCCCGTGCAGCTGGTGGTAGCAGGTGAGGGGCCAGGCTCTACGTCTCCGCTCCGAGCCCCACATCCACCCTCATGGGGGGGTCGTAGAGCGAGTCTGGGCTGTCGCAATTAGCGCCCCCAGGTTTGATATAGCCCCGTTTAGCAGACAAGCTCCCCCGTAACTCTGTAGACACAGGGACATTCCTACTCCCAAATAGGGACCGCCACACCCAGACCTGCTCCGCAGTGACTCCAGGTATGAATGGCACCCTGGCTGGGGCAGGGACCGTCTCCTGGCCTTTCCTCTGTTACAGGAAAACCCGAGGAAGTGAGTGCCCTCGCCCAGGAAGGGGAGGGGTAAAGACGCTGCTAAACCCGGCTCG